TGCTTGAGGCAAATGTAAAAATAGAAAACTGAAACAAGAAATAGAAAGTCTCAGCAAATAAATAAATAAAAGATAAAGAACAAAAATGGAAATTTTAGAACTGTAACCAAATTTAAATTTCCAATAGCAGAAGAGATGAGACAGAACTTTCCTCTATTAATTAGTAAATCAGAAGATAAAACATAGAAATTACATAATCTAAACAGAGAAAAAAAATAGACTGAAAAGAAAAAATAACAAAGACTCAGGGAACTGTGGACTATAACAAAATATCTCATATTCATGTGGTTGCAGTCCAAGAAATAGAGGAAAGAGAGAGGAGGACTAAAAAATATACAGAGAATAACAGCTGAAATGTTGACAAATTACACAAAAGATATAAACCTGCAGATTAAAGAAGCTAAGTAATACACCATGACTTAGCTAAATCACAAGTGTGATTTATTCAGGAATGAAAGAATGGTTCAATGTAAGTGCATCAATCAATGAAAACACACCACATTAACAGAACAAAAGAGCTGGAAAGGCAGGGGAAATACATGATTATCTCAATAGGTGCAGAAAAAAAAAAAAACTTGACACAATCCAATACACTTTCATGATAAAAATACTAAAAAAAAAAAAAAAAAAACCTAGCTATTATCAAATAATGTGGGAATTACATTCTCCATCCTCATTTAGTTTAAGAGATCAACACAGAAAAAACATTTTGTTTTTATACACCAACAATAAATAGTCCAAAAAGGAAATCAAGAAATCAATTCCATTACAATAGCATTCAAAATAATAAAATGCCTAGAAAAACATTTACACTGAAAACTACAAAACATTGCTGAAGTAAATTAAATACCTACATAGAAAGACATCTCATGTGCATATTGCTCAACACAATTTCTACCAAAATTTCAAAAGCTTTATTACAGAAATGGAAAAGCCGTTCTTCAAATTCACATGGAATTGCAAGGGTCCGTGGATAGCCAAAAACTCTTGATCTTGAAAAAGAAAAGTGTTAGAGTACTCATATTTCTCAATTTTAAAATTTACTACAAAACCATAGTAATCAAAAAAATATAGAACCAGCATAAAGATACACATTAGACCATGAAGTAGAACTGAGAGAAATAAACCAGATGTATAAATTATTTATACCTCCATAAATAATTTATTTTGGGAAAGGTGCCAGAACCATTTATTGGGGAAAGAATGGTCTCTTCAACAAATGGTGGTGGAAAAAGTTGATTTCTATATGTCAAAGAATAATGTTTCACCCCCACCTCATACCATATACAAAAATTGACTTGAAATGGATAAACAACCTAAATGTAAGAGCTAAAGTCAGAAAAGTCTTAGAAACATGGGGATAAATCTTCATGACCTTGGATTTGGCATGACACTAAAAGTATGTACAACAAAAGAAGAAAATCGATAAATTGGTCTTCAACAAAATTTTTAAAATTGTAAACATTAAAGAATATTATGAGGAAAGCTTTTAAAAGTATAACCTTTTACAGAATGGGAGAAAATATTGGTGAATCATATATCCAATAAAGTTTTAATATCCAGAATATATAAAGAACTGCTGCAACTCAACAGTAAAAAGACAAACAACTCAATTTAAAAATGGGCAAAGGGCTTGAATAGGGATTTCTCCAAAGTAGATATACAAATGGCCAATAAGCAAATAAAAAGATGCTCAACTTCATTAGTCATTAGGGAAACTCAAATCAAAACCACAATGATAAACTAATTCACATCTACTAGGATGCTATAATTTTTCAAAAGTGTTGGTGAGGTGGTGGTAAAATTGCAACCCTCATATATTGCCTGTGGGAATGTAAAGGGCTGTGGCTACTGCGCAAAACAGTTTGGTGGCTCCTAAAAAGATAAATATAGAATTACCATATGACTCAGCAATTCCACTCTTAGACATATACCGAGAAGAATTGATAGCAGGGATTCAAACAGACATGTGAATACCAGTGTTCACAGCAACATTATCCACAATAAACAAAAGTGTCCCAAGGGACCATCAACAGATGAATGGATAAACAAAATGTGATATACACATAATACAATGAAATACTATTCAGTCAAAAAATGAATATATTACTGATATATGCTACAACACTGATGAGCTTTGAAAATGTTATGCTAAGTGGAGTAAGCCATTCACAAAAGGAAAAATACTGTATTATCTGATCTATATGAAATATCTAGAGTAGACAAACTCATAGAGACAGAAGGTAGATTCGAGGATACCAGAGGCTGGGATAAGCGGGAAATGGGGATTTAATGCTTAATAGGTACAGAGTTTCTGTTTGGGGTGATAACAAGTTTTGGAAATATTTAGTGGTGATGGTTGTACAACATTGTGAATGTAGTGCATGCCACTGGATTGCACACTTTAAAGGCTAAAATAGCAAATTTTATGTTATATACATTTTTACCACAATAAAAAATATATATTTTTAAAAACTAATGGTCATGCCAAAGAACAATAAAACCAACTTAAAGGGTCCCACTGGCTTACATTGGGGCTAATTGATAAGTAAAAAGAATAACAGCTATATTTAGCTAAAACACACCAAGCATACGAAAATCCATGACTTGAACCTGATGCTTTTTAAAAATGACCACATTTAGGCATCTCTAGGGCAAAACTTATTACTCTGGATATGGTAAATAATGGAAAATAATTAAGCACTTATCCTGCCTTTTTTCCAGTAGACACTATATGCAGAAAAATCAATGATTAATTAGAATTGGTCCTTTATATAATTCCAGTTAATAGATATAAAGGTAACAATTGGATTAGAAAATTCACATTTTGCAATCCCTAATGAGATACTGGATCATCAATTGATGTACAACCTATTAGGGTGAAAAATTAATGGAGACTATTATAAAAGGGGGGTCCATTTGATACCATTGATCAATCTTAGCATCACTAAAAATGGAACAACCACACATTATGTGTCTCATTATATGATCCAATAAGAAGTATACAGCACCATCTATGAATGACTTTTACTCTAAAAACTGAACTTGAATTTAATCAAATAGATTGGAAAAAAAAGAACTGTTCCTATTTGTAGGTGATATAATTATCTTTATAGGAAATCTCAAGAAATATACCAAAAACTATTTTAATTCCTAGAACTAGTAAGTGAGTTAGGCAAGGTTACAAGATACAGATAAACATACAAAATTGTTTCTCTATATGAGCAGTGAATATGTAGACACAAAATTTTAAAAGTACTATTTATAATCACTCAAAAAACTCTAACAAAACATGTAGAGGATTTATACATTAAAAACAGCAAAGTGCTGATAAAAGAAATGAAAGATCTAAATAAACGGAGATAACATATTATGTTCATGAAATTAAAGACTTAACATAGTAAAAATGCCAATTCTTCCTAAATTGATATATAGGTTTAATGCAATTTCTATTAAAATCCAAGCAAAGTATTTTTTAGATATAGACAAGTTTATTTTATAATTTACATGGAAAAATAAAGGAACTAGAATAGTAAAAACAATTTTGAATAAGAATAAAGTGGGAGGAATCCTTCTACATAATTCTAAAACTTTGACTACAACTGCAGTGATCAAGACTATGTGGCATTGGTAGAGGAACAGAAATATAGGTCACTTGAATAGAAGACCCAGATACATACTCACACAAATATGCCCAACTTATTTTTTATAAAAGTGCAAAGGCAATTCAATGAAGGAGACATAGCCTTTTTAATAAATGTTGCTGGATCAATTAGACACCCATTGGCCTAAACAAATAACCACAAAAAAGAACTTTGATGTAGGTCTCACACTATACAAAATGTAACTCAAAATAGATCACAGACTGAAATGAAAATGTAAAACTCCAAAGTTTTGAGAATCTTTAGAAAAACACATAGGAACACCTTCAGAATCTAGGGCTAGGCAAACAGTTCTTAGACTTGACACCAAAGCACAATACATAAAAGGAAAAACATCAAATTAAAAACTTTCCCTCTATAAAAGATGCTGTTAAGAGAATGAAAAGACAAGCCTAAACTACATACTGGGAGAAAATATGTACAAACCACATATCCAATGAAGAACTAGTACCTAGAATATATAAGGCACTCTTGATTCAACCGTGAAAACAAAAGATTGGAATTAGATAATGGGCAAAACACATAAAGAGACATTTCATTAAAGAGGAACTATAGATGGCAAATAAGCACATGAAAAGATGTTCAACATCCTTAGCCATTACAGAAATGCATGCTAAAACCACAGTGATACCATTACACACATACCAGCATGACTAACATTAAAAATAGTGAAAACACTGAAAACTGGTGAGAATGTGAAGAAACTGGATCACTCATATATTGCTGGTGGTAATATAAAATGATGCAACCATTCTGGAAAATGGCTTGACTTCCTCAGAAAACTAAGCCTGCATCTACTATCCAACCCAGGAATTGCACTCCTGGGCATTCATCCCAAAGAAACAAGAACTTACATTCATATGAAAACCTACATAAATGTTTGTAACAGCTTTACGTGCAATATTCCAAACTGGAAACGACCCAAATGTCCTTCAATAGGTGAATGGCTAAAGGAAGTGTGGTGATACTTCCATCCCATGGAATGCTACTCAGCAATAAAAGAGAACAAGCCACTGGCAAATGCAACAACCTGTCTGAATATTCAGAGAACTGTGCTGAGTGTTTGTCTATGTAACATTCTTGAAATGGAAATATTATAAAAATGGAAAAAGCAGATTAGTGGTTGCCAGCAATTCAGAAGGGAATGGGGGCAGGAGGTAGGTGGGATCCTTGTGTTGATGGAAATGTTCCATCTTGACTGTATCAGTGTCAACACTGTAATTGTGATAATGCACTCTAGTTTTGGAAAATGTTACCATTAGGGAAAACTGGGTAAAGGGTACAATAGATCTCCCTGCATTATTTCTCACAAGAGCGTGTGAATTCATTTCAACATACACTTGAGACCTGAATTCTTCAACTTCCATCCAAGGATCTTAGGCAATCCCTTCACCTCCCTGGGCTTCAGTTTTCCTGCCTGTGGAGCAGAATGACAAAAGCTTACTCAAATGTTCACTTAATTTTGGTGTTATGTATAAATATAGAAAGTAAAAAGAGGTAAAAAAATTTACCAGTCTTTCTTACCTTACAATATTGTTTTGAAAAACACATAAGATAGAATATATGGAAGTACTATGAAAACCACAAAGCATCATCCCATCATTAGTTATTATTCTACTCTTTTAGGCAGAAAAAGAGGGATGTCTGAATATATCCTGAAAGATACAAAAGTGAAATAAAATAATGGGGTTAAATTGTCTTGGGTCATCCTGTGAGAAATTGGCTGAAAGGATAACACTTAATATGGCCTTATTGCCTCTTGTCTCTACCTTTGTACAACCTACAGCTTTCAGAGACTGGAAGAATCCCTTACATACCAAGGCTGTAAGGTCTGGGAGTCTCTCATAAGCACAGAGTAGAACCAGTACTGTATATCACAACAAGCAATCCCCCAAAAGCTAACCATATGAGTCAGTTCTGATTCTTAAGACATACTCACTCTGTTAAAAAGTCCAAAATAGTATTGTATAGTTTGGGGATGAGACAGAGCAGGAAACAACAGAATAAGAGCTGAGAATATCAAGTCATCCAATGACTACTGGCAACCTATGTGATAAGCCCTAGAATACCACCAAGAAAGCGTTCTCTGCAAGGCTCACCACAAAGTCAAAAAGAATGGGAGACAGAGAAATAAAGGTAGAAAAGTAAAGGGAAAGGTAACTTACAAGCACAGCAGTCTTGGAGAGTTATAGGTTCTCACTGAGATGTGGCATTTGCGGAAACAGATAATCCAACACCACCAGATAAGAAATTAATTTCCCACCCATGATAAAAACACACAGCAGCTGCTGCTGAGAGGTGTATTTATAAACCCTTAATTTCAGAGCTATGAAGCAGTCTACTTTGTCAAAGGCAGAGAATATGGTGGTTTCTCTTTTATTTTCTAGGGTACCTAAAGTAAAAGAAGGAAGAGGAAAGAGGCCTTAGGACACTTGAGAGGCTGAAATGATGGAAAAAGCCACTGACCATCATTGAAAAAGATACGAGGTCTTCCTGAGCCCAGGGCTTCACCATTTCTAGACAACTAAAAACAGGGCTTCATGTGAAACAAACAAAAACTAACAACAAAACAAGAACTGGGGCAAACTGGTAGATAATTGGGCACAAAACAAATCTTTCTGTCTCAGTTGGTTGTGCACATTAATTATTTAAATAATATCCATGGTTCCTCACTTGCTGACATGTATAAGTAAAGACATGGCCAACCTAGTACACTTGCAGAACTTTTAGCACTTCAGAGAAGCAACTTACTAAAAGGAAATGCAATACTTTTCTAAGGATAAGTTATGATTTTTCAGCAAAGGCCATAATTTAGCAAATGGCCCATTTTAGGACACAAGAGTGTGTTCCAAACACCTTGAAAAGAGCCAGCGCAACTCACAAGAACGGGAAAAAAAAAAAGTTTACCACCAGAGGGAGAATTGTTCTTAATTACGTTTAGTTCAGTTCAAATTCACATATTACTAACACTTCACTGGAAACATATGAAAAAGAAATAATTTTAAAACTGTGCCTAAAATCAACAAGCTTATAATCAAGAACAAGCCAAAGAGCCCTATGTATAGATAACTATCTATAGATTTCAATTTCTAAAAGATGGTTCAGTGACTAACAACATGTGTTTATATGTACATATATACTTACACAGAATAATTGAAAATGGCATTTTCCTTTTTGATCCAAATCTATTAATTCAATGAACTCACAAAAAGCCCTGCTACATGGTCAGTAGTGTGCTGAACATAGTTGCAAAAGTGACTATGGTATAGTCAAATATAAGAGAGAAATGGATGATAAATAATTAGAAAATAGTGAGCTATTTTGGGATGACAGTAAGCACAAGACAGAGTTACTGAAGAAAATGGGTGATTAAATTCTCTGGCTGGTGGAGAAGGAGCAGTGGAAAAATGGAGTGGTCGTTGGAGGATGGTAGTCAAAAGTCAATGGTCTCTCTCTAGTTGTGACATATAACTGGCTAAAAGTGGAAGGAGGAATTGGATGGTCAGGAACTCGGTAAATGATTCTTTCTGGAAAAAATCCCAAATAAGTATTATATATATTTCTCTGGTATGCCCTGGCTGCATTTGATTTACTTCCCTAAAATGTAAGAGCAACGTTAGACCAGCTTCTTTCATGGGGCTCTTTATACTGAGTTTGTTGATAGTCATGGTACATTTTTCTCTGTGATTTTCTGCCTCCAGCTTTTCTTAACATAGTGTATATCTGAGAGTAATTGCAAGAAAATATGTGATCATCTTTACTCAGGTCACGATACACCTGATTTCTGGTCTTTTATCTCTTTCCTGTCAGTTTGGTACCAACCACAAATACCAGTGACTCTGAAGCAAACAAGGACTGTATGGAGATGGTTGTTGGACATGCTCTTCTTGCAAGGCCTAAACTTTCTTTCCTATTTCTGGACTGAAATATGATTCTAACTCCATTTACTTTCTCTTGTTGTATTTCCCAAGACAACTGAGACAGGATACCAAAATTTGATTTTAGAGCAATCTTCATTAGGCAATCTACAATGGAAATTTCATATTAGAAACAAGGGGAATTTATCTGTAGCCAGAAGGCCTTTTAGTTTCAAGTGAGACAGAAGTAAAATCAGAGCCACTGGCTGAAAGTCCCAAGCTCACAATTTTCTCCTTTATTCACATTTTCCATTATGTACTTGGAGACATGCCCATGCACTGATGAACAATTGTATTCTGCATTTTGCATTCTGCTTTGTTTGTGGAGACCTGGAGAGATTTGTGGACCCTTGGATAAATTATGTGAGGGGATGTGACTATTCTTTACTGTTCTGGGTGATGAGAGTTGGAAGCCGATGGACATGTAGAGAAATTATTTTCAGAAAACGAGCAGTGGTGGCAGATCATGTGATGAACTCTGGGAACAGAAATAAATTATGGTCTGAAACAGCTTGGACATTTGTTATTCTTGATGGAGGTGGGCCCTCATTTGGGTTTGGAGATTGTTGTGATGTATGTACCTCCAGCAAAAAATTCCTCAACCCTTTGTTACAAAATGAACTCATGAGTTGAAGGTAAGGTATGAGCTACTGATCATCCTAAATTTGAGAAGTTGCTTTCGTTGCTCCTATTTACAGTGTGTTGGAAAAGGGTCCTGAAAATTAACCCCTTCATTAATGCATTGAGCCATAGGAAACTCTGTTTTAGACTTGGTTACATGATTTGAACATTCTTCCTCTCAACTTAAAAAGTCAGTTAGACACAAAAATTTTTCCCAAGGATAATTTGAAGGGCTCTTATTTTAAAAGACATAATAGAAACAACAGATCCTATTTTGCATTGGATAAAGCCATTAAAAATTGAGCATTTCATTTGGGGCCACTGTAGATACATAATGAACCAATTAGAGTATATCCTGTCTTGACTACATGATGAAAGTCAAGGTAATTCTCTGATGTTGACTTTTCATGAATTGTCCCTTCCATCTCAAGATAAGCTACTTAAAATAACCAGAATGGAAAGTCTCAGTTTGCTGGCATATAATAGCATCACTTTCTCCCTTCCTTTCCCAAGAAAAACTATCTCAAAGCACAGCACACTTTCTTTTTATCATTTATGATCTCATTTCTGGCTTCATGCCTTTATGCCCAAGGACATTTGGGAATGTGTCAAGTGGCAGGTATAGCCACTTGAACTTCTGTACCCTTGAGCTTGATGGGGATGCCTCCCCAATGTCCATCTTCTGGATCCTTGGCCAAGGGTTCTGGCATGGAAGATTTGACTACCTTGCTCAAAAGAAGTCACCTAGTCCTGGATGTGCATCTCATCTTCATATTAGGAGATGCCAAGAAGCTAATTCTGAAGCAAGAATTTAGCTTTAGCAAACCAGTTGATTTTGGTTTTTTGCTATTCTGCCAAAGCTACGATCCTGAGGCTGTGATGATGTTTTAAGGCCATACATACTGGTCAGCAGAAAGACCACTATCAGTACCCAGCTACTGTCTCTAATAGGGAAACCAGGACATTTTCTGTCTGTGGAATTTGTGTGGCTTGGGAGGCTTGCCTGACTACTTCCCCTGGAGATTCCAACTCTAATATATACCTTGAAAGGTTTTCCTTGGGAACTAAAAAGATAGTATGTAAATTCTCTGCTAGGGCTGAGAAACCCTCAATAAATAGAAGATGTCATGGGCCTCATACAAAAAAACTCACTCTGAGCTGGCCTGCTAACCCAGCCATATCTGAATGTGTGCTCTATGCAAGCTTCTCTTCCATATCTGTGTGCTCCCTCTTACCCAGTGGCACAGATGACCTGAGACACCTGGGGCTGGCTTGTCAGTCAGCTCTACTGTAACCTCACAGAAGCCATTCATAACCAATGTTCAGGTACACAGGTGGTACCCATACCCTGTACCCTTTTCATTTAATCAGTTTCTCTGTTATTTCCACAGAAAAGCAGATGTTAACCATAATTACAAAAGTTATAAACTTGGGAACTTATGAAGTCTCCAACAGCACTGTCCCTTGTATGTGTTCCTGACTTCAGAGGTACTCAGAGACCGAACATCCCAATCCTATTCTCTTTCCTTAGGACCCTACACTTAGTCTTCTTCTGCCCTTTTAAAGGTCTCCTAGGTCTTTGCTATTCAAAATATGGTCCACAGACCAGGAATATCAGCATCACCTGAGAGCTTGCTAAAAATTCAAAAGCTCAGAGCTTCTAAATAAAAATCATCATTTTAACAAGATCCTCAGGAGATTTGCATGCATATTAAAATTCACAGAGTACTGCTCTAGGTGCCTGTCTTTCACAGAGTAAAGACTGAATAACAGGTGTTAAATAATGATCATGATGATGATAACAAACAACTGTTATTACTACTACACCAATAATAATACAGGATTAATTGGGAGTGTACTACCTGAAAGGATCATGCTAAGGGTTTTACATTCATTAGCTCCTTTAACCAATGCCTATTCAAGTGTCCCTTGGCCTCCCAGTGAATTTCAGGATCTCCCATCTCAGGATGTTTCTTGTTCCATGATCTACATGGAAAAAGTCACCTTTGGGCATAAACGTACAACAAATCCAGGCATCAGAGAAAACAGAAACCTAGCAACACAGAGGGTTCACATAAATAGTAAGGAGGAGAGTGGCTGGAGCTGCCAGAGTGGGCCAGACATGCCATGCTGTCAGCCAAGAAGAGACTCACAGGAATCAGAATTAAGGGAGCAGGGCCAGACAGAGAGGAGCACAGAGGAGGTTAGGCACTGGGAGCAAGTAAAGAACTGCTACTAAGGCAGCCTGTCCTAGGCTCACTGCCATTATTTACCCTCTTGAGTTTGTCTAGTGAGAGCCCAGCATTTGACTTGCAGGTAAAAGTAATAATGTTTGGAAATACACACACACATGCACTCACTACAACCTGATTGAGAACGTGTTGGAAGAGTTGAGAGCAAGCAGGAAAGCAGCAGTTCATGGTGGCTGAGGTGGGAATAGAACCTAGGTCTTCTAACTCCAAGTCCATGACTCTCTACTCTTCCTCATCTTATCTCCACATATAAGGTACCTTCTTATCTGTCTGTCTACATTCTACTTCCCCTCAACTTATGACAAAAGCCCCAGGAATAGCAGAACACTTCAGGAGACTATGGTTTGGCAGATGGCTGGGCCACAACAAATGAAGCTAAGGGTGCTTGTTCAGTTTCCATAAGGGTCAGGCTGTGGTGGCCCAGGTC